AGACTCGCGATTATCCGATTCTAGGTTAACCGAGCCCCTTGGTTATCCGAGGAGAAAGTCATAACTGGCGAGTCACAATTGCGAACATTTATTTATGTCCAGAAATTTCTGTCGCGCTTTGTCTACAATTATTGTTCCTATGTTAATTAGTGTGATTTGGACAAAGTAAATCAATAAAGTGGGTCAACTGAAGTGCGAGTGGTGAGTGTGGATTGGCACGGAAGATCATGAAGAAAGGAAACCATAGCCAAACATTTAAGGCGTCGTTTTCAGGATTAAGAGATAAGATTAGATGAGATAAAGATATCAAAAGAAACTTTCACAAGAAGTTTAAGAATGGACGAGAAAACGTTTGTGATAGTGAGAGATAATTTACTCATGGAAGAAGAAATATGGTATTCGACAATTAAATCTTTGCAGCGAAAAACTCTCTGCTGGCTCAACTAAAATTGGAACATTTTATTTAAAATTATAGGATATTATCCATAAAGACTTACTGACTTCAGACCAAATATTCAACTGTGATTCGATAGACCTTAATTTTAAAAGGCTTTTTTGACTGTAACATTTTTAACAGCTGTTTTTTAACGACTTTGTACCAGTCATTGATGCCTACCTAAAAAACAAAAATCTGCCCCCAAAAGCTCCATTGTTAGTGGACAACGCATGATCCTGCCCAGACGCGAGTGAATTGATTAGTGGTGATATAAGAAGCTGTGTTCCCTCCACCCAATGTGACGTCTTTTATCCAACTCCTAGAGCAAGGCGTTATATAGAAGCAATGAAGAGGAATTATCTGTGGAGGCTTCTTTAGATGCTGATTAAGAAGGCTGGATAAATCGCTGACTGTCATTGACGCATTGAAAAAGATCACGGTTAGAAATGTTTGCTATTGGATTGCTTTGTCATGAGACGACGTATAAGTGTCCAATATTCAAAAATCATGAAAAAAATTATTTCAGATAGAAAACAAAACACTGGATCTTAAAATGAAACCGTTGACTGTGAAATTGATACTATAACCAACCTGGCCAATCGGAAATCAAGACGTCATCGATTGGATGAATGGAGATAAAAAAAATGGAACTGACAGATGACGCAATTTCCGATCTAATTCTAAAAATCAACCATGAAGAAAAAGAAGATACAGATGAGATAACTTAAAAGATTTCCGATTGCGAATGGGTTCCTTGAAGCAACTTAACTTAAAAAGAGGAATAAACCTTACGCAAAAATCAATCAAAGAATTTTTAAACAGTAATATTGATAAGCTAAATGTTTTATCTTTTATATATAGTGCTGTGTTAATTTTTAGTCATTAAAATAATCACAGTTCTCGTTATTTATGTGTTTTTCTATCAGTACAAAAAATCTCGATGTTAACCGAGTTTTTTCCTTAGCCGAGGTAGTCACGGTCCCAATTACCTCAGATAATCGCGAGTCTACTGTATATCAAAGTCGCTCTACCTGTTGCTTTCTTCTGAAAAACGCAGAGGCATCTTGGGCTATTTGCTTGCGTTCCAGAACCAGCTTGGAGCTAACTCTGGGTGTCTCAAGGGTCTTTAAAGCTGCGGTACTATTCAGAGCAGATTAATATGATCCTGCCAGACAAGCCCTATCAAATATCTTCTAATTTTGTTTCTCCTCGTATAATGTGTGTAAATACGGCTTTATTCGGAAAGCCGAATGGTGTTAATTAATCTAGGATGGTTTTGCTTCTACTTTAAATTTTTTTTTTCAAAGTTTCGCCATAAATAAAAAAGTTATTCAAGATTAAAAGTTTCTATTTGAAAGCGATAGTTTTTTATGTTCTTGAATGTATATCTCAGATATTATCCATTATAGTGTAATAGACACAATTACTACAATTTAGAGTATTATTGATATTGATTTCTTAGAGTTAAAAATAGATTTATGATTTGTAGTTGAGATACCTTAGAATTGTTTAAAAACGTACGTTTCCACAATTATATACTTCTGAATACAATAACCTTGCATTTATGAGTAAATTACATGTATTTTTGTTTTCAAATTTTGTTTTTTATGTTATGTTTAACCTTAAGGACTTTACTGGCTTGATAATATCTTATTATCAAGTAAAATGAGTTAATAGATATTCATTAAAAAATATAATATATGCCAATGTAAGCAACGATTTCATCTATATCATTTAGAGGATTAAGTATATTATAAGAAAAAGACTAGATTTTACTGTTAGATTCTGTGTACAATAATTAAAATCGAAATATGATCACCAAAATTTTTGGTCTTTAAATGAAATGAAACAACCTTTCAAACAAGCGTAGGAAAGTAAAGAGAATGCTTTCATAGAATTCCGTCAAAATTATTTTAAACCCGCTGTCAAGGCACGGAAGAAAACAGATTCCCACGGTCTTTCAACTAAGCGCAGGCGATTCGAGTTTCCTAATCAATTTTTAATTCACGGGGAGAAATTTTGGAACAATATGACATTCTCCGATTAGAATTACTGGTTAATGCTTTATTAATTTGTTCATTATGATATGACGCACTATCAGTAACAACAACAGATCCAACAGCCAAATTGGGGATTAACTGTTCTTTCTAGAGGTGTGCTTATTAGTTCTTTTAGACGAACTAGTTCAACAGAACTATTTCACAAAATGAACTAGTTCAGTGAACTAGTTGGTGAAACTATTTGTAGGACCGACATCGAAATCCAACCCTAACAGAACTGGTTGCCAGATGTCTCACCTCAATCATCACACAAGCTCGGCACTGGCCGCCCGTTTACTTCGGTTTTCAGTCAGTCTTTCACTAGTTCACTACCGTACAAGTAGTTCGGAACTATTTCTTTCTTTCAGTCAGTCTTTCACTAGTTCACTACCGTACAAGTAGTTCGGAACTATTTCTTTCGATCGTATGTTTAGGTTTAAATGGTTTAAATTATTATATGATTAGTTAGTTTTTATTTGCAAAAAATCATTAAGATTTGTTTTTTATTAACCGTTTTAAATATAAATATGGTTCAAGTATGATTTATTTTTATATTTACGTATATTTAAACTCATAGGTATTTATAATTAGGTTATTTCTAAAAGAACCTTTACAAAAAAAATCAGTGAATTTTCTAGGAACATTAAATAACACATTTTCATTCTCACTTTTACATAAAATTATATTTTGTGTAAATGCCTCAATCATTTTAACCACAACTAAAATTTTTATTTCAAAATTACAATACAAGAAACAACACAGCATGGCAACATCCAAGCCAATACATGGGCATAAGATCCGAACCATTATGACATTAAGATAAGACCTTATGGTATTGTCACATTCATAAGAATTATGAATCTGTTATCTGAGGCTAATCGGCATGTTTTTTAAACTAGTTAGTCCATCCATTCACAAAATAATAAATATATGTTCTAATTCATTCATTCATTATTTTCTTCTTTAGAAGTCGAGACATAATTTATAATGCAAATCGTTCGCAGTGAACTAGTTCTATGAAAATTAATGAACTAGTTCAATTAGTTCAGTTGAAAGAATCGTTCATTAGAACTATTTTGATGGTGAACTACACATCCCTAGTTCTTTCATCCATTTTTCATAATTTCTGAATTCATATCATCATGATAATCTCCTGTCTTAAATACCCAACATGCGTATTGTGTCCTGCATATACATAGGTTTCATCAACATATACAATTTACTTACCTTCGCTTCTGTAATATTGGATTTTGTCCAAATATTTAATGCGTAGAGCACGAATATCATTCTGTTCAATTAATAAGCGTCGATTATCTTTCGTGTTCTTTCATTTATATCCCAAATCTTTCACAATTCTGTAGAGAGAACTTACACTTGCAGTCCACTCGTACACCTCTTCAAGCCTTTTCTGCAAAAACTTCAATGATACGCGACAACCTTGAGTCTCATAAAACCGATGAATGGTATTTCTAATGAACTGTTTGTTATACTGCCTCAAGTCTGTCACGGTTGCTTTCCTTTTAGCGTTGTAGCTAGAAGTTTTAGTGTGTTATTTAACTTTGCGTTTGTTAACATACTCGCTTGTTAAATGATCTTTTCTACTGTACGTAGATACTCCAGTAGCTTCACTCACGTTGTTTAATACTGGTTCAATTATCTTCAGGAAATAGTATTGGCATATATTTAAATACATTGTAAACTATTCCTTTGGATTCTGGTGTCAATCTGATTTGTTTAGTCAAATTACACTTAACCATCTCCATTCTACAAAATAGTTCTAATACGCGTGGTAGCACCTTTATTGTTGAGACTCGACAACATAATGAGACTAAATTATGAAGTCGTTTGAAATCCAGTGACTAGAAATTCTCGTAATTTTTATGAGTTCTTTGTATGTCCTTAACGAGTCGTTAAGGAGTCATTAATAATGACTTTATAATTACGGTTTGTGATGACACGTGGTCGGGTTTATAGGATAGGTTATGGAGAGTGGAAATTAGGTTACAATGAAACACCTTTCATCTATCGTGTCTAGATTCAGAATGCTTTTATTTCCTCTTCCTTGCACCTGTACGTCACGTCACTCTTACATATTACCAACCTGAGTGCGTTCCGAATGTTTTCTTATTCACATACATCACACGGTTTAAAGGTAACTGATACCAAATTAGAAATTAACTTTTACCAAACTTTATGTAGTATCAATTATTAAAGATGGTATTATAACAAACAAAAAGTTTGGTATCCATAAAACACTCTGTATACAATGAAACTCCATTTATTATTTAAGTGAGTAATAATTTTGTAATTAGTGCGATTTCAAATAATTTAATTCGTTTAATATTGCAACGCCACTGCATGGGTCCGATCATGATATTCTATTGTCTGCGCGAATAACTATTTCGTGGAAGGGCTTGAAACTCGATTTAAAATAAGCTGTAATACACTCTTCATTGCTAGCAATAGATTAACTATAAGTCCTTATAATTTTAATACAAAACATTGCATTGATCTTTTCTTTTTAGGAAATATGATCGATTTGTCTTTACAAGCCTGATGTAGATTGGTAGAATGGCAGAATGTATCAGTAGAAATTCAGATCTTCCTAAACAAGACTGTACAAGCCCTAGCCCGACAGAAACCGTCTGTTTGGAATCTCTATGTGCTGAAAACCATCCAAGTAAGTAACTATAAATGTTTCGATAATTAATGGTTTTCTTTTTAAAATTCTTGGGTTTGATAAAGTATGTACAATGATATTCCGAAATATTTTTAAAAGTTAAGTTTAGATTTTTAAATTCTACAAATACTCTATGTATATTTCTTAATAATCTGAATTATTAATATGTGCTATAAGCGTTTGTGTGTGAGAGTGTTTGTGTATGTGTGTTGTGTGTTGCATATGTATTGTGTATGAAATGAGTGTATTGGTTGTTTTAAATGCTTTTGTGATCAACTTATTTCCTATCCTTTTTAATTTTTCTGATAAGCTTTTTACATATTTTATTGTTGTCATTATTGAGTCCCTTTTGAGTTTTTCAGGATTGCATGTGGTGTTTTGTTGTTTTCTTTCTTCTTCTTCAAGTTCCGCTCCTATCGGAGATTGGAAATCATTCTGGCAATTATAATTTTGTTGGTTACGCGCCTGAATAGTTCAATTGAACTGCATCCAAACCATTCACGGAGATTGCGTAGCCACGAGATTTTACGTCTTCCTACGCTTCTTCTGCCTCTGATTTTACTCTGCATTATATTCCTTAGTAGTTCGAATTTTTCACCTCTCATGATATGCCCCAAGTATTCCAATTTACTGATTTTTATGGACTTTAGTTCGCATTGTTTTCCTAGTTGTTCGAAAACTTGTTCGTTTGTTTTGCGATCCATCCAAAATAAGTCGGTAACACCATATTTCGAATGCTTCTATGTTTTTAATGTTGGATTTTTTAAGTATCCAAGCTTCAACCCCATAGAAAAAGGTAGAGACAATATAACATCGAAGCATTCTTATCCGGAGCGATATATTGATATCGCGATTACAAAAAAGTTTTCTCATTCTATTAAAAGTTGACCGTGCAATTTCAATCTTCTTCTTCTTAACATGCCATACACCAAAGTGCGTAGGCGACTATCTCATTACTAGAATTCTGTTCTTGGCGGCATGACACAGCTCACCTGTATTGTGTATTCCTGTCCATTCTTTAATATTCCTTAACCAGGATAATTGTTTGCGGCCGGCTCCTCTCCTACCTTCGATCTTCCCTTGTAGGATTAACTGTGGTATTGCATATTTTGCTCCTCTCAATATGTGCCCAAGGTAACCAATCTTGCGTTTTTTAATTAATTCAAAGAGTTCTCTTTCCACGCCGGCTCTATTAAGGACGTCATCGTTTCGAACTCTATACACCCAAGGTATGCGCATCATTCTTCTCAATTTCAATGCGGCATCTTATTTCTTTTGTCTGATCAGTATCTTCTGTGATCCATGCTCCAAGGTATTTGTATGGAGATATTTGTTCAAATTCTGTATTATCTAGTACTAGCTTAACTTTGATGTTTTGTGCTTTTGTAAATACCATGAACTTGGTTTTCTTCAAATTTATTTTTAGTCCATAATCGTTGCAATATATATTTCAGCAAGGTGTTGCAGTTCTTTTAGTGTTCCTGCCAGAAGGACGGTGTTGTCAGCATATCTTATGTTATTAATAAACCTTTACTGTATAAATTGAATAACAAGGGTGATAAAATACACCCTTGGCGGACCCCACAGCGAATCTGGATATCCTCGGTCAGGTCATTTTCAACTTTCACTTTTGCTGTTTGGTTCCAATAGAGGTTACATATGATTCTAATGTCTCTACTGTCTATGTTTTTATTTAACAAAAATTTCTTTTAGCCGATTATACTGCACTCTGTCAAATTCCTTCTTCTATCTTGTGGTGTTCCTGGTTGATGAATGAAAATGGCTGTGACATAAGTAATTTTTTGTTAAAACCTTTGTTAGCAGGATTTTTTCTTCTTGAAATGCCTTTTTATTAGAGCATGTGTTTTGGGCTCTATCATGTAATAATTTGATGATTCCTTCTTTGATATTTATGTTGTGATTTGGTTTTCTGTAATCTTTGGTTGCATATCCTTTATCCTCTTTTGTGATTAGCACATCCAGAAAAGGAAGTGAATTATTATTGTTTTCTTTTCCTATGGTAAATTTGATTGATTCTTTATTGTTGATGTTCATCAGGAATTTATTCGATGCTTCTGGTTCATGAGATCAAATGGAGAACACATGTACCCTGTGTTGATTCTGTAAGATAAAGCTTGTGTATGTAAATTTGTCTCAGTCGGGTATATAACTATTGTTCATTTCAATTTTTTGGAAATAATCGTTCCAATAATAAGTTCTGATTAAATACACATGATATATACAATATTTTACAATTTTATTATACGATTTCGTTTTTGAATCAATCGAATATATATTTTAGGTACTTCGCAAAGCAATATTGAACAACCTTTAATTCCCCAAAACGACAATTATAATATCGAAGAAGTGGAAAAATTAGAAAAAAGTAATTTTTTAAATGAACTCGGGTTGGTACAGGAATGCGATGATGAAGATGAGATAGACGTTGTTTTGAAATTAGAGATAGATGTTGACGATAACGAGGAAGATGATACCAACAGTAGAGATGATAAATGGGAAGATTGTTTAGATCAAGAATTTCCTGATGAAATTACCACAGAAAACGTAAGTTTTTTTTTCTATCATGTTTTTGTTTATAAACACCGTGGGGACAATTGTACATATCGGAACCTGCCAGTCTAAATTTTACTCAGATATTTGGGATTTGTTTAATAAGTTTTGATACCTAAAGCTTTTTTAAAAAAAAAGCCCTTTTAGCCTTTGTTAAATGTATTGGAAATTAAAAACAAACTCTGAAATAAATTCTTTATTTGGACTTTTTAGCTCCCAGATCAGAAGCGGTTTTAAGAGAAGCAAGCAAATAGTTTATGCTATAATTTGTGATTTATTCTTAACGAATATTTCCTAAAATCAATTTATTTGACATTCATGTTTTTTGTTTTATATGTTTTGCTTTACGCTGTGTCGCCAGAATGTGTTGTTTCACTCACCTTCCGGGATTGTTATTTTTCCTAATTTTTAACTTTAAGAAATAATAGAAAATCAGATTTCTTCAGAATTTGCCGTGTGTTCGTTTTTGTTTGTCTTTTCTGGTTGACATTCCCTCTCGTTTTTCTGACATCTGTACAGTACTATCTATATGTAGTTAAAAAAGTGAAAAAAAGGAAATTCTGTAAATTCTTGAGGTAACTATTAAAATATGGAAGGAATAAGCTTAAACAACTGACGATTATATTTCAAAAACGTTTCAACAAGAGAGACATCTTATGGAAGGAAACAGAAATATAAGGGGGAAACTATTGAGCATCGCAGTGACCAATACATTAAAGTATATGGAGAAATCTTAATTTCTAATTTGGGCGCAAGACCACAATGAAGCCAGCGGTATGGAACCGCCTATATTGGAGACACAAGTTACAGGTGACCCAGGCTCACTTTGAACTGTCGCGCCATTGGAAGAAGATGTACAAGCAATATAGCACTGAATTTTATATGAATGAATAAAGTTTTTTCCGCAAATCGCCAGGAAATTTTGACATTCTGTCAAAATTTCTTGAAGAAAAAGTCAGGGCTTCCTTACTGTAAGGAAATGTTATTTCCTTACTGTAAGGAAATGATATTTCCGTACAGTTGTTAGTGTTCTACATAAATGATAGAAAACACATTGCTTATAAGGAATTAATTTATATTTTGAAAACATCAAGTCATTGCTGAATACATTTTAAAGATCAATTTGTTATATTTACAGTAATTTGACAGTTAGTACAATTATTGAACATTGGAGGAACACTCTTAGAACTATGAGAAACATTTTGGACAACATGCAGGGTGGAAGTGTGATTTTGTTGAATATTTTGTACTGTGAAAATTTTATTTGCCACCTCAACCTTATTGTTAAGCGATTCTTCGATATATCCTTCAGCAACGTTTGATGACTTCCATCCGCCATGCCTCTTTAAACTAGTTATGTCGGCACCAGAGTCAACCAATATTGTTGCAGAAGACCGACGAAAGCAGTGACCAGTATATTCTGTCGGATTTACCAAGTTCAAATAGGTAGCAATTATTTTGGGCATTTTTCTAAATTGATGAATTCCTACCACTTGTCTACAACCCTTTCCGCTTTGATATTTAAAGAAAAATCGGTCACTGTTCATATTTTCTGGTCTTAACGAAACATACTTTCGATAAACATTCAAGTAGATCTGATTAATTACAAATGATCTTGGTTTGTTGGTTTTCGAATCAGATATGCTGATTAAAAGCTTAGATTCTAAGTCTTCTATATCGTGTACAGTCATTCGGACTAACTCATCCATTCTACAGGCCCCAGAAATACCAAATATTACAGCCACCTAAAAAATAAATAATCTAAATAGAAATTAAAACCTTGTAAATTACCCTAATCATTAAATTTTCTTTATCTGGAGCTTCCTGGATAAATTTTTCAATTTCTTCCTTCGTTAAAATCTTACGATTTCTTTGCCCTATAACCTTGAGCTTGCCGTTTCAATAAAGAACGAAGTTTTGAGTATGTAGATATATCTACATTGTGTTTAAGTGCAAGGATTGACTTCAGCATTGAATAATTGGCCCATAATGTTGAAGATTTCATCTTTAAACAAAGGTCTAGGAAGTATGCCATTACAACATTTTCTGAGAAAGAACTCGTATTTTTACTCATGCGATAATCCATAAAACGTCTGTATGCATTTTCGTACTTTTCTCTTGATTTCTTTGGCAATAATTCTAATGAAGCAGTATTCACTGCCTCAACCAGCTCTGGAGGAGTCCCAGGAATGGAAATTTCATCATCACTTACCAAGTGATGATGAGTTGCCAAGTCTCGGCTTGCGCCTCGACTTAGCAATCTTCACAGTCGTCCAGGAATGTTAAGCTTTTCCTACCCGGTAAACAATGTACTATTTATGTAAAAATCTAATTGAACTAAAAAGAGGCAAATAAAGTCCTTTTACCTTATGACGGCCAATATGCAATTAAGATATCATCAGTGCGCCACAAACAGTGGGGCGTTAATATTTAATTCCAATCACTTAAAAAGTAAAAATATTTAATTTCCTGTATGTTCAGTAATAATATTGGATTTTACTGTATCAAAGGCAAATAAAATATAATATGTATATACAGGGCGTGTTAAAAGAAGTGGGATGGAATATTTAGAATACTCGAAATTATTTGTCGACATCAAGGTCTCTATAAGTTTCTATTTTGCGTAGAGTGAAAATTATACGAATGTACGAATATACAACACTTTACTTTCTGCAGACACTGTATTAAATATAACCTTGAAACAAATTGGCACTAAATCACTTCTGAAATTTTCAGCAAAACAAAATGTTTAAACACGTGTAGTCCAGTAATTAATACCAAAGATATTGAGAGTATGCAGTCCAGTAATTAGACCGAAAGTACTTTATCGTTTAACTAAAACACACCACAAAGTCCGAATGAATTCTCGAAACACTTTTTTGTTACTTCTTTTTAGCAAACGATTTGTCTTATTCACTGTCTGATATTTAACTATCAGAGTCATCACTATTATATAGACTATTATACTATATAGACTGAACGATTATGTCTTCCGTATGTCTAATACAATTTTGCCATTGTTTTGCCTTTATCTGTTCAACCGAGTTCTGACTAACTCAATTGCATTATAGTGACAATGGCAGGGCGGAAGTCGAAGAACTCCATAACCATATTTAAGAGCCATTTGGGCAGTAACAAATTTCTTTTGAATTTTGTGCTCTCCACACCTTTGAAGTAAATCGACTTTTAAAAATATGTCACTGTGTTAAATTTTGTTTTCTGTCAAACACAACTTTATTTCTTCTTTTGTCCAGCTGCTTGAAGGAAATCTCTCTTCTACTCTTGAGTGGTAGGATGCAGTATCCAACACTATTATGGATGGTCACTCCAATTTTTTTAACAAATTTTCTTCAAACCATATTTCCATGGTAATCACGGGTATTCTTTGTGGACGAAAAAATTAAAGAAACGTCAGGAATAAAACCCTCATCATTTGAAGCATGAAGTACAATGTAACGTTTACCATTACCGGAACGACTAGAAGAATAACATTTCGTGGTGCCATCTTGCCACGATGATTTTGACATATTTCCTTTAGCGAAAATCTAAAAGTTTCACCTAAAAATACAACTTGCCTCGGACTATCAGACGTTTTATTGTTCATGTATTTTCTTTAAAAATGCCACCGTTTTGAAACAACATTAGAGAGTTCACACAATACTTGTCTATTATTTGTCTTTTTATATCGAAATGTTTCAGAACTCTCCACAAACTTGTTCAACTAATATCTTAGTTCCTTGTCTTTTTGTAACACAGAACTAATTGTTACATGTTCTTTGGCTTTATACATATATATAATATTTTTAATTGCAAGTTTAATTGACTGGTGCAAATTTAAAATTTTTGGATGTCAACGATTTCTTTTGCTTACTTTATTTATTTTATCCTCACTCGTGTTATTAATTCTTCGGAATCTCCTCTCTGAGATATCGCAAGCATCGCATGTGTTTCTGAACCGCCATAACAGAAGTCAATGGACCCATATTATTTTTTTCCAAATTGAAATAACTTTCGACTTTCAGAACTAAACGCCGTTCTTCTGGAGATAACACTCTACGTTTCTACTATATTATATTTTCTTCCAAATTACTAATTTTACTTTATAGTGTATATATAACTTTCGTATATATAACTAGACCCTAAAAAGGAAGAGGGTTGTACAAAAGACGAACCAATCGAACACAAATTATTTAACAGCCAATGCTAAACAAGCATAAACACTGCATTGATTGTAATTGCAAAAACCATTCGCATGTTTTAAATAAGATTTTTATTGATTATGTATTTTGCTAAATTATTAAATAACACCAATATAACCCACGACCATCAATTAATTTTTAACGATAAACAGAAGTGTAATATGATGACAAGTTTAAATTTGATCTACTTTGTCGATAACGGTGTCGTTAACAGAAAGATATTTTTAAATAGTGTGTGTGGATTTAAGAAATACATTACTAAGCTAATTTTTAAAGTGTGTTTAAAGGAGATTACAATTATTATGACACATGGTACTCCTTATTTTTCAAATAATATGTTCTTGTAAAGGCATAACTTTGATTATTTGGCAAACCTACATTATACGATAAGTCAGAAGAAATTAAAAAAAAATTAACACGTAATAAATTCACTGCTTAAATAAATATTCCGTACTCGCACTATTGCAATAAACTATTAAAAACAACCAAGTCACCAGCATTTAATTGCCACCTAATTCTTAGGTGGAAAGTACTTTACTTTCTGTTGCAATATTAATAAATAATGTTTTATATTTTTGTTCTATAATACCCTGGTGGTACTTTTTTGCTCTGTATAAGTTGTAATATCTGCTTTTTGGAATTTCCAATTTAGATTATTATTTTCTTTTTAACTTTTTCATAGAGCTGAAGATATTTTAGTTTCCATATATCATATTTTCGTTTTCATATCCGAATGATCTTATTATTATGATTATAATTAAAAATAGTCTGATGTATTCAACTTGAATTTATTGGTTTCTTTTTCGTTTTTCTTCTTTATTTTGCATTTAAGCATTATATATCTTCTATATTATACATTTTGAGGAAAGTTATTACTAGTATTGCTTTATTTGTAAAGGTAAAAGTTGCTTTTCAATAAATTTTAAATCTATATTATTAAATAGTAACTCTTGACTCAACGCAGTACTGTGTTATTAATAATTGCATTACTTTCCAGTCAGAAGAAGTAAGCAGTAGTGATGAAATAAATAGTTTTAACGGCAGCCAGTCAAACACTCCAAGAAGTTCACAATTAAAAAGAAGTAATTCTGGTTCAGCAGAACGTATTCTGGTAAGAAATATGTTTGTATAATGATCAGTGAACTGATACTAATTATGAGTGTAGAGCCACTATAGTCACTTTCCATTTATTGAGATTTCATATACCATATTTTCTTTACAGTCATTTCCACGTCGCCACAGTGCAGCCAACTACAAATTTTTTCAATAACAGTTTGACAATTGTTTTAATTATTTTTAAATATGTGTGAGTGCAAATGACAGTTAGGAACTATTGGTATTATTTCCAGTGTTGCCATGTGTAATTTTTAATTAAGTGTAACAAAGATTTGTGTAATTTGTATCTACAAATAATCTAAAATACTGGAAATAAGCAATTATTTATTAAAAAAGTTTATTTGAAATCCTTTATAAAAGGTATATAATTTAAAATCCCTTTCGGGTTATATCGCAGAATGTTTTCTGGCTAAAAAGCCCATTATCAGTGTTTTGTTACTCGCTGCACATGAGTTAAGCTACTAAATACCTGGGTAAAAACCCTTTAGATGGTACAAAATTTAATATGTCTAACTTTCTACCATCCTCATCTACACCATCCTTCCATTTGAGTTTTGGCCTACCCCTTTTTCTACTTCCCACGGGTTGTGACATAAGGATTCTTCTAGGAGGGTTGTTCTGCTGTGATCTTGCTAGATGTCCTGCCCATCTTAGTCTTCCTATTCTTATAAGAGATACTACATCTTTACCACCAAATATTTGTTTATATCTGTGGTATACCTCGTAGTTGTATCTCCTCCTCCAAACACCATTTTCACAGATGCCAACAAATATTCCTCTCAGGATCTTTCGTTCAAATATAAGCAGAAGGTCTTCGTCTGCCTTGGAGATGGTCCATGTCTCCGATCCATATGTCAACACTGGCTGTATAAGGGTTTTGTATGTGGTTATTTTTGTTTTTTGGCTTAAGTTTCTACTTCTCATATGTCTACTCAGTTCAAAATAGCATCTGTTTGCCATTATTATCCTTCGCTTGATTTCTTCCATTATGGCGTTCTCTTTGGTGATCAGGGAGCCTAAGTATGTGAATTTGTCCACCACTTCAAAGGTAGAGCTATCAACCGTGAATTGGGGACCGATGTTCCTTACTCTATTGTTGGGTGTTGATGCCATCATCTTAGTTTTCTCCTCATTTACTTACAGGCCCATAGATTTTGAGGCATTTGAGAAGGTGGTATACATTTCTTCTAGCTTGTGTGTTGTGCGGGCAACTAGGTCCACATCATCTGCATATGCCAAAATTTGGGATGATTTATTAAAAATATTTCCTCTGTTGTCTATTAGGGCATCTCTGATCGCCTTTTCTAGTGCTATGTTGAAAAGGAGACACGCCAGCGCGTCTCCCTGTCGCAGCCCAACATGCGTTCCAAACGTCTGTGATTTTTCGCCCTGTATTTCGACTTTGCAAACCACATTACGCATTGTAGCCTTAACCAATCTTATCAGTTTATCGGGAATGTGGAATTCATTCATGGCTTCATACAATTTATTTCTTAGGATACTATCATAATCAGATTTGAAGTCTGCAAAAAGATGGTATGTATCGATATTGAATTCATTGGTTTTTTTCAGTATTTGCCTTAGCACAAAGATCTGATCTGTTGTTGATCGACCAGGCCTAAAGCCACTTTGATATTCCCCGAGAAGTTCCTCTGAATATGCACTTAGGCGACCATATAAGATCTTCGAAAATATTTTGTATGCTGTATTAAGGAGGGTTATTCCCCTATAGTTTCTACATTCCAATTGGTCACCCTTTTTGTGTAGCGGGCAAACGATTCCAATACACCACTCTTCCGGGATTTGTTCCTCATTCCAGGCTCTCAGTATTATTTTATATATTTGATTAGTCACAGTAGCACCTCCACATTTAATAAGTTCCGCGGGTATACCATCACTTCCTGGAGATCTATTGTTTTTTAGGTGTTTTATTGCATCTCATACTTCTTGAATTGATGGATAGTAAGTAGTTCTTTATAGTGTTCCACCCACCTTTTCAGTACTTCTTCTTTTGTATTTAGTATATGCCCCTCCTTATCCTTACATAGTCTGAGCCTTGGTTTGAATTCCTTTCTTGCATTATTCAGAGTTTTGTACAATTTTCTTGTTTGGTTTTCCTTTTTTAATACCTCAAGTTCTTCCAATATTCTATTTTCGTGAGTTCGCTTTTTTCTTCTATGAATGCACTTCTCTTCTTTTCTGAGATCTTTATATTTTTGCTGTTTTTCTCGGGTTCTTCTTTGCTGCATCAGATAACCTATATGGCAATGTAAGACTCCCACTAAGGGTTGCTGCTGATGTTATGCCACAATGTTATCAAGGATGTTATAAACATGTTGACTTCAAATTTTAAGAAAACTAAAAAAACGTATTTGCTAGTACACTCATGTAGCTAGTTTTTTTAGTTTTTCTTTTGTTTTAACTAAAGAATATCACAAATAAGGATAGAGTGTTCAATCTTAAGGGAGTAGCAATAAAAGACAAGATCAAGAATTAAGACCTCTGAAACAGAACCAAAGTTACAGATGTTAAGGAGATGACAAGATGATCTGCGAAAGATGACGAAAAATTGAATCCGTACCGCACAAGACCATGCACTGTGGGTACAAACAGGGAAGGCCTATGTCCTGCTGCTGCTGATGATGATAATATAGCTAGAGTCATTTTATGCATGAATTTTATGATCATCTACGTAAAGAAATATTTAAATGATATCCAATATTTTAATTCCGGTAGCTTTATGTTGGGCGAGATCAAGTTTTTATTTGATTACAATATATTTTTATTATAATTACTATTTATAACTGGGAATAAGCCACAATTAAAGATAAAAATACGTTTATTGACGTTTCAATTTCCAATTCGGAAATCGTTCTCAAAATACAAACAGTAAATTAAACAAATTTTGTTTTTTGTTACATAGTGAAAAAATTCTTCTAATAATTTAATTTTATCTGACTCATTTATATTGACAATTCAGACATACATTATGCATTTTAAAGTAGACGACTTTAAAATGATATTGCCAATATTGTTGAGTTGCGCTCCTGGGACGACTTTACTTATAAGATAGTTCATTCGATTACATGAAATCAACTTTAACTTGAGAATATCCGTCAGAAAAAATCACAGCATGAAATTCGTCTTTAAAAAGACAAACACATGACATGATGACAGTAAAATTCTCCTGTTAGTGATTCCATAGTAAATTATAAGGGAAAAACCAGGAAAAAAACCTCATAATACTATCCCGACATTGTAAGTATTTGTTCGTGAATTTAGTTTACCTTCAACAAACATCAAAATTCTGATTTTATATGTTACGTTATTTAAAAAACATAAATGATGTATCCTCTATATGTTACTGACTTACTAATACTGGTATTTTCTTATTAATAACTTCCTCTTTTAATATTGGTAACCACATCCTACTACATTCTGCCGAGGAATTTGCGACACAATTGGCCTCATTTAGCATAATTAGAGCCGCTTCTTTGATTTTTCTTTTTTTACCATCCGTTTCTTTTAGGACTATATTTGAATTATTCCATTGAACCCTATGTTCATTATCCCATGCGTGTTTACATATTTGAGATCTATCAAATTCTCTATTTTTAATATAAGATTGATGTTCACTTATTCTAACATTTAATGGCCTTGATGATTCACCTAAATAAAACTGATCGCATTCACAAGGTATTTTATAAATGCAATTATTTGTCCTTTCTTGTTCATTGTTAGGTTTGGTTTTGGACAAAATAGATCTCAACGTGTTTGTTGTTTTGAATGTTGTTGAAATGTTGAATTTATTTCCTATCCTTTTAAGTTTTTCTGATAATCCTTTTATGTACGGTATTGTTATTTTCCTCATATTATTCCTTGTGTATGCTGTAGGATCTCGTTCTAAGTTGTTCTGTTCTATTCGATCGATTGTTGAAAATTCCTTATTTATAAACGATAAGGGATAAGTATTATGAGGTGTTTTTCCTGGTTTTTCCCTCATAATTTACTATGAAATCACTAACAGGAGAATTTTACTGTCATCATGTCATGTGTTTGTCTTTTTAAAGACGAATTACATGCTATGATTTTTTCTGACGGATATTCTCAAGTTAAAGTTGATTTCATGTAATCGAATGAACTATCTTATAAGTAAAGTCGTCCCAGGAGCGCAACTCAACAATATTGGCAATATCATTTTAAAGTCGTCTACTTTAAAATGCATAATGTATGTCTGAATTGTCAATATAAATGAGTCAGATAAAATTAAATTATTAGAAGAATTTTTTCACTATGTAACAAAAAACAAAATTTGTGTAATTTACTGTTTGTATTTTGAGAACGATTTCCGAATTGGAAATTGAAACGTCAATAAACGTATTTTTATCTTTAATTGTGGCTTATTCCCAGTTATAAATAGTAATTAATTTACAATGCCACAAGAAAATAGCTTCAGAACAATAATATATTTTATGATGAACAATACATACATTGAGTTAGTATCACTATGCGTGTTGACTAACATATGATTTAATACTAATCTTCTCTCTGAAATTTTATATATGTTTAAAATAAACAAATTTGCTTAAAATGTGGTTTACTCATCAGTTGTTTCTTCATATTTCAGCGTAAACGCAAATTAGACGTCAATAATGGATTGCCCATGTTGCCTTGTAAAAAGATCCCGCCAGACTCGCCGCCATTACACAACAACGGCGGTTGTCTTCTCTCACCTACAAGTTCCGCTTCTCAGACTTACTCCGGGAGTAATACACCATCTAGTGGTAGATCGAGGGCCATCATACCGACGAAAGAGAACCCGCCACCGGATCTGTCCAACTGGTTGACACGTTTCACCACCTGGTCAAATGCAGAACGTATCATGGCCATAAACGAGTTGATCGCCAGTTGCGAACCAACCCAAGTCAGGCATATGATGCAAGTAAGTTTATTATTTTTTAATGTTTAAATAAATTTCATTTACTCCTGTATCATTTCTCTATTGAGAAATCAGTAAGTTATGCGAAAATATTCCCTTTAACACATTTTACTGAGCCTCTCCATAATTGGCGTTTGCGTATGAGTTCAACACCACAAAATGATGAAAGTCCTACAATACAGTAGAATTGACGCCAGAGATCTGCATCAGAAATTTGTATTGGAATCAATCAGTATCTGTTAAAGTCAATAACGAGAAAACAGAGGAAGTGAAAATTCTGGAGGTATTCGACAAGGATGTATATTCTCGCCTCTCATATTCAACATGTACTCACAGGCAATTTTCCAAGAAGCCCTAGATAACACGGAAGCAGGAATTCCATTAAACTACGAACGAGTAAACAATTTCAGATATACTGATAAAGCCATTATGACAAAATAAATCTTTTAATGAAAAAAGTAGCTGAAATTAATTAGAATATGACTTGGACACCAAAAAAACAAAAGTCTAGTAATTAGCAAAGCAAGAATTGGAGATTATAATTTACCATCAATGAAAAAATGGTAGAGTGAGTATCAATATTAACACCACTGGATAGAGTATTTAATGAACAGCTTTCATCCAAATGGTAATTATTTATAACATTATTTGAATTTGAAGCTTAGAATGCTACATATTCTCCCATCTTGCTGTATAGAGTAGAGTCTCGGACCTTGATTGACTCAGCAACAGAGGCTAAAAGCATTCGAGATATGTACTTCTTCGAAACTAAAAGAATTCTTAAAATTTCGCGGATGGATAAAACACCAAACATAACATTACTCCAATAACTTAATAAACAAAGATGTACACAGTAAAACATAGAAAATTTGAATATTTGGGTCATATACTGAGAAATGAAACCAAATATAAATTATTGAAATACATTCTTCAAGAAAAAGTTCAGGATAAGAGAGAAGTCAAGAGACAACGAATATCCTGGCTACAGAAGAACCTGGTTTGCAACCAAAGGAAACCTTTTTGAATTGAATTGGTTTACATCTTCTTAAATAAATTTAGTTTGCACGTGGTTTAAAATTCACAGTTAGTTAATTACTCCTTACTGCTAAGATTGTGTATGATCATATATTGTAAAATAATATCGCCGTATTATTTATGTCTAAAGAATAATTTTCTTTTTAGATAATCGAGCCACAATTCCAAAGGGATTTTATTTCATTGTTACCAAAAGAATTAGCTTTAAATGTTTTGTCATTCCTAGAACCAAAAGACCTTTTAAGAGCAGCACAGACTTGTCGAAGTTGGCGTGTATTAGCCGATGATAATCTTTTATGGAAAGAAAAGTGTAAACAGGCGGGTATCGACGAAATACCGAAAAAGAGGATGTCGTCTAGATCACCGAACAGCTGCCATATGTCTCCGTGGAAGGTAAGCAAAAATGTTTTAACTTAATACCTGTTTTCTTATCGAAACAATTGAATATGTATAATAAACATCATGGTTTGACAGAAAAACTGATTTTACATTAACAATAGTTGCAAACAAGAGTACAATTACAACATTGTTGCGAATTAATACAAGTACATCATACGTCTTTATTTTTTAGAGGTGGCAACACGTTTATGTCATAGTAGTGACAAGTTCTTACAGTTCTCAAAACATTCTTTGTATAAACTCTATGATGTATCATGTCCTGTGTTGCTACAGTATTGTGCGAATTAATACAATTATTGAGACATTTTTCAATATTCACAGTTGGCAACACTGTCTCTACACATTTACGACTTACCAAGCATTGAAAACGTAACCTTACTTTTCTCTGCCTTTTATTTGAGTGTGGTTTAGGACCTTAATGTTCAGTTTGTGTTGCTTTGTGCAATTTTGTGTTTTTTTCGGTAATTAGTGAGTTTTTTTCGTTTATTTCCATCATGAATATGCGTGAAAAGATAAAACGTTAAGTGAACACACTTCTATTTCACAAAGCGAAATTAGAAGAACGTGTGTGGAGAGAGTCAGGTGGTAGTGGAAAAAAGAAAAAAAAACACCAGCAGATGAAAGATTTTTATTCGAAAGAGCAAATTGTGGCCAAGAAAAACAAGCCAAGAGCCCCAACAAGATCTAGCAACATCAGTTGTAGTGATTCATGACTCAAATATTCGGAAAAGATCTTTGGAGAATGGTAGAAGGGCAGTCTGTGCACAGAAAAAAACGGCTCGAATTGAACGAATGGAGAAACAAGGCTATTGTGGGCCAAAAATACTATACTTGGACTTTAGACGACTGGAGAAAGTCCTATTTACAGATGAAACTCACTTAATAGTTCAGGGACAGCGGTCGAAATTCATCAGGAAGTCCGACAATGAAAACTTTACACCATCTTATATTGATCAAACCCTAAAACATATAGTCAAAAAAATGTTTTGGGGATCTTTTTCATACATACACGCTAACACGTGTAAAAGCAGAGTGGTTGAAAATAACATGACCTATCTAAGAGCGAAAATAACATGTAATTTTCGATAAGTTAAAAATTACGTTTACATAAAGTAAATTACGAATAAAAGCAGGCAATTCGTTATATTTGGATGGTATATCATATCAATTTGAAATTTTTTACATAAATGTGTTAAATTTACACTGCAATCCATGTAAACTGTTTTTAAATCATGTTTTTTTTTTTTTAATTTTATTTTTGCTGAAATATACTGAATAAATGAATGAAATTTGAATGAATAATAGAATGACTACTCAAAGGGATTTCCCGATGTGTTTGATGTAAGTATAGAGCTGTTTGTAAACATGGTATTGAAATTAAAAAGAGACACTGGGACTATTGAGTGGGAAAAAGCAATAAAGGTAAAGAGAAAGTAAATTAAACTTGCAAAACAAGCTAAGAAGTTTAAGAAGTATTAGCTCACGCTGGAATTATTGTTCATAAATTTACTGTAGAAAAACGACTTGCAGAAGTTGAATGAAAAACAATCAGAGCACAAAGACAGCTTTGACTGCTGTTATAATGAAGAGACTATATCATTGAACAAAATTTTTTGAGCTTAACTGTTGAAGATTTGAGAAAAGCAGTTTGTGCTTGATCAATGCGTGAACGAATTTCTTCTGAATGTTGGTTAGTCCCGTTGACAATTCCGGACTAGTTCAAAGATAATTGTCCACAATTTATTGTTAACGAAAATCAAAACAACCATCATTTTGGTTTTCCTGATATAATAGGTTTGTTCGTAGTAGCGATTACAAACGGTTTGTGATTTGAAATACAGTGCGCATGTTCAGTTGGAAACTGCTTGGAATTAGTTTGTGATTTTGTTCTCTGCGAACACCTAAAATTTGATATTTTGCATTTGTCATTGTCGTTTGTCAAATCTTGAAATCTCCTTTTCTTATTTCTTAAGGCCGTATGACACTATGCATTTTCTTGTATCATTTCTTATATCGTTTCTGATATAGAAAGTTATTTATGTTTTCTTGTATCGTTTCTTGCACGTACATTTTTGCCCTGTATGACACTATGCAAGGTCTTTTACCAGAAATTGTATGTGATTTGGCACATGATTGGTGGAAATTTTGACACCTATAAAAATAGAACCGCAGTACCTGAGGACTCCAAGCTACTGGGGACTGAGGACATATGCTACTTATTTTTTAAAATACTGTGGTGCAAAAATTAAAGAAATAAAATGTCCCAATATTAAAACTAAATTGGAAACCACAATTTTTGAAGATATTCAACAGGCTGTAATGGAAGACAGAAATAATAATTTGGTTGTAATAATTTTTTTTTAATTATGTGTTTGAATGGCATGCTCTTGACATTCTACTCTCTTATTTGGAGATATAAAATAATCTTTAAACTCATCACTAATGTTTAGAGCGGTTATTTCTTGTACAAGAAAATGCAGCGGACACAAATTCTTGTATCGTTTCTGATTTAAGAAACTATACGCTTGTATGACACTATCCATTTTTTTTTATTATATCAGAAACGATATAAGAAATGATACAAGAAAATGCATAGTGTCATACGGCCTTTAGAATTCGATATAATTAGTTTGTTAAATCTTTTTATTCACTTTTTTTGCATTTATTGTTTAATATTATTAGTCGTTTATTTGTTTTTATTAGTTTGATTATAGTTTTCTTAGTATATTTTATTTTTTAGTTATACCTATATAGTTGTTATAACAACCCAACGTTTGTTTTGTGGTTATAAAATAGATTTATATACAACAACAACACCTCTGCGCATGTCGCTGATTTTTAGTCCGCACTATCGTTGGGGATTTTAACAACCGTTGGAAACCGAATTCTGATTAATCACTTTGTTACTGCGAACAGCAAACTTAAAATTGCCAACCGTCAGAAGTGCTTCTACGAACGCTAACTGTTAACTGCGCGTGCGTCTGATGGTTGGCAACGGTTGCTGATCGTTCTACAAACAAACCTAATATGTAAACCGTGCGTCATACTAAGCATATATACTTTAAGTCGGTTTTACAGCTTGCAATTTTACCTGCAAGACGCAAGAAAGTTGCCCAAAGGCATGCGCAGTATGTCGTCAGTTGATTATTGCCTGCAACTTATTGCAGTTGCGCGATAATCGGTTTGGTGCCATTTTCTGTGCAAGTTTTCATGCAAGTCTAGGGGAATTTGTAGGAAGTTTGATTTTTTCACAATGTCAAATGTCATAATCACTGATTGACACGGAGACATGCCGATCAGCTGTTTCCTGTTTTGTTTATTATTTCCTTTCCCACACATTTGTATTTAGCTTGGCTTGATTTGTAGATTATCGGCTTTTTCTAATTTTAATATTTTTAATTAATACGTTAGAGTATCATCAAAAATTGAACTATCTTCTGCCCGAAGTACCAACAATGTCTTGCATAGTCTTGGCATTACGAAATTTACTATCTATCTATCTAAATCAATCTATCTATTGAAATTAATTCTAAATATATCATTCTAAATTTTAATCTAAATCTATCGAAATTAATTCTAAATCTATCTATCGAAATTAATTCAATCTATCTATAAAACTAAATCGACTAAAGTGTTTTAAATAAACAAGTAATTAAAAAAATCATAAATAGGTTAAGAGTAAAAATTTCAACATTAATTGCAAGCTGTAAAGTCGCACATAAAGACCCTGCAATAAATTGCATGAAAGTTAGTCATGCAAGAAGTTGCAGCAAGTTTTCTTGCAAGCTGTAAAGCGGTCCTTATTAAAGAGTCCCTGGAGGTCTCTCAAAGTATTGGCTCTTGCAATTTGATCCCAGTATAATATTGAATTTATTTAAACAACTGCTATAACTAATAAATGTTTTTCAAATTTGTATGTTATCTTTAGTTCGATAACACTGTATTATATATGTGTATTGTTCATATAATATTTTCTTATTTGTTCATATTTGTTCATATAATATAATATATTTATTCTGATGTTCTAGGCTACATACATGCGCCAGCATGCCATAGAAATGAACTGGAGGTCAGCTCCAATTAGGCCACCAAAGGTATTAAAAGGTCACGACGACCATGTGATAACATGTCTTCAGTTCAGCGGTAATAGAATTGTTAGTGGATCTGATGATAATACCCTTAAAGTGTGGTCTGCCACTACCGGAAAAGTAAGTTTAACTTATATTACTAAAAAACATGGGTTCGTTGAATCAACAATTTTATATACACTGTATATTATACCATTCTTATAGTAAACTAAATATAATCTTAAGGTCAAGATTGTTTCAAACGAAAGCCCTTAATTAATGAATTAATTTGGGCCAATTCACTAATTTTGCTAATAAGTGGTTTCCGAGATAGTCGAAAAAAACATACTATAAATTTTCAGAGGTAGAGAAAGGGCGCTAGCGGGAAAGGACGAGAACGGACAAGTTTTCCTGAAATTGCGTACGAGTATCCTGTGCGTATGTTGAGTTGCAACAACAATTTTTTTATACGAATATAAACTTATAATCTAGTAATTCTATTATACTTATAAACTCCTGGACGAAATTATTGTTCTACTATTTAGTTTCAAGGGTCAAATTTATATATTTTAAAATGGGCAAAGAATAAATTTATCTTTAACTATATTATTTTATTAAGGGATAAAGCTTTTAAAAAGTACATTTTCATTATACTATTTTATGGATTCTACAATTTTTAATTTATATGAAGCAATAAACAGTAGATATTTATCTCTTTCGGGATTAATTGCAACCATCTGTTCCAATCTGGCAACTGCTGATTTTACCATTGCCAAATCTATCCCCTAATCTATCAAAGGGTAATTGCCAAAAAAATTTCTAATAATTAACTGCAATTAATCTCCAAAGAAACAGATATATACTCGTTATTGTTGCATATAAATTAAAAATTGCAGAATTCATAACATATTATAAACAAAATGTACTTTCCTAAAGCTTTATCTCTTTATATTTGAAGCAAACAGCATCTACATAATAAAAACATGCCAACATTGCTATACCGAAATTGTTTGATCCATGTTTTTACATTTGCGGCTATAATCAGCTTGTACTTTTATGTAAAAATATTTATGTAAAAAATACTGTAAAGTAATGTTTTTTTGTTACGGAAGAACTTTCATTTTTTGAATAATTTCAACTTTAGCCCCAGTTACCAGATCATATTTCTAATATCGAACGTTTTCACTTTTAACCATTAAATTAGCTCTTATTAAATTTTGTCAGGTTGGCTGTGGTATCTTTTCCCACCCCTCACTAGCAGCTTGCTCCAATTTAGCTTCAGCTCGAAGAGGACTGTTACATCGGATACTCGTTTATTGTAATTCCCACTTCATTACACATTCTCACTCCTCCAGTTTGCGATCATCATCAACCTGTATGCGTCCACTGCTGGACATAGGTCTCCCTCAGTTCTTTCCATCTGTCTCTGTCTTGTGCGGCTTCCATACAGTTATTGCTAATACGCTTCAGGTCGTCAGTCCATCTAGTTGGTGAGCGTCGTCTGCTCCGTATTGCTTCTTGCCTTGATCTCCACTCTAAAATACCTTTTATCCATCGGTTGTCTGATAATCTGGCGACGTATCCTGCCCAATTCCATTTTATCGATAGTGTCTGTTGTCTTTGTTCTACGACGTATTTCCTCGTTTGGGATTCGGTCTCTCAGAGAGACACCTAACATCTGGCGCTCCACAGCCATCTGAGTCACGCGAATATTATTAACTATCTTTTTTATGTTAATGTGTCGGCTCCATAAGTGAGTACAGATAACACACATTGGTCAAAGATTTTCCTTTTGAGGCATATGGGTAGATCCGATTTAAATACATAGTTTAATTTATCAAACGCTGCCCAGGCTAATCCTATGCGACGTGGGAGTTCACTTGTCTGGTTATCTCTGCCAACCGAATTTCATGTCCTAGGTACTTATACGATGTAGTCTTCCATTCCATCAACAGCAATATTTCGATTTAGCATCAGATTAGTCATTATTTGCGTCTTGTTCATATTAATCTTTACTCAGACCTCCAAGGAAGCGTGATATAATTTTTCAAACATTATTATTGCATCATCCATACGATCGGCTATAAGGACGATGTTAGCTGCAAATCTGAAATGACTGAGCTTCTCTTCATGTATACTGATACCATGCTCGTTTAGATGTGCCTTCTTACAAGTGTGTTCTAAAAGCGTCGTGAATAGCTTTGAAGAGACTGTCTCTTTGCCGTACTCTTCGCTGTATACAGAATTTATTTGTTTTTTGTTCAAATAGTCTTACGCTAGTTGTGGCATTTTGGTATCGGAATGTTTTCTCGTAGTCGACAAATATCAGTGCTAATGGTTTATTGTATTCTGCAGACTTCTATGTCAGGTGGTCGTTAGTGCTGTATCCTGATCTAAATCCAGCTTGTTCTCTAGGCTGGTAGAAGGGTAATTTAGCGTCCAGTCTTTTTTTGAAAAGGTTTATATATTTGTGAAAACAAACTGATAGGACGGTAGTTTTTTTTAAATCTGTCATGTCTCCTTGCTTGTGTAATAAAGTAATGACTGCATTATTCCATTGAGTAGGAGTTTTTCCTTGGTAGATCCATTCGGTAAAAAGCTTGTCCAAAGCCTGTGTGGCGGTTTAAACAAACAATGAACTATTACGAGAATTAATAATAATTAAATTTACATCAACTATATTTCCTTCGATAGCCCTGGCAAGATGAATGAGCTTTAACTGATAGGTGTAAATAATTACCATCATCATCACAGTCATTAACATCTTAGTAGATGTGTTATGGTTCATAATTGGGCTTCAGCAGCTCGGACAGTTTGATTGATAATATTTCTCTACTGGTCGCGGTCATCAGTTATATGTATTGCCTCAGTATACTGTTTATTGAGAAGCTTTTTAGTAATGTCCGCCCATCGCTGTGGAGATCTTCCGCGTTGGCGTTGAGTCTGAGGCCTTCCTTGGACCACCAACCGCTCCATTTTGTGATCACTTCGATGGATATGGCCAAAGAACTTTAAAATTCTAGAGTAAACGGTACTGGAGAGACGCTGATCCGGTTTAATTTCATCCAGAACCGAGATATTTGTACGGCGAGCCGTCCATGAAATTCGAAGCAGGCGTCTCCATGTCCACATTTCAAAGGCGACTATACGTCGTCGATCTGATTCTTTGACTGTCCTTGTCTCGCATGCATAGTAAAATATGGAAAAGACCAGAGTTGAAACGAGTCTCTTTTTGTTTGTCATAGTAATGTGACGATCACGCCAGACCCCGTTTAGTTCACTCATTGCTGTTCTTGCTAGTTGAATGCGTCTTCTAATTTCGGATTCACAACTGCCTGTGTTGTTAACTAGAGCTCCAAGATATATCATAGATGAGACTACCTCGCATCCCGCAATAGTTTGGGTTTCAGGAAACTGTTGTTGGCGATCAATAACCATGATTTTGGTTTTGTTGTAGTTAACCATGAGTCCAAATTTAGCATACCTCGAGTTTTTTTAATAATTTAATAATTTCTTCTGGAGTAGAGGCTAGGTGTAGTGTCGTCTGCGAAACGCAAGTTAGATATCTTAACACCACCTAGGTTTACTCCTCCCTCCCAACCATCCAAAACTCTGCGCATTATGAACTCCGAATAGATGTTAAATAATAAGGGAGATAAAACGCATCCTTGGCGTACTCCCTTCTCCAAAGTGCATTTGTCAGACATATCCGTCCATTCGAATATATGCCAGGTTATCTTGATACAGTTTGCTAATAAGGTGAGTCAAGTGTTTAGGTACACCCATTGTCGTCAATATGTTCCATAGTTTGTCCCATCTAACATTATCAAAGGCCTTTGTATAATCGACGAAACATATAAATATCGGGATCTGGTATTCTCTGGCTTTTTCTATGATGTTTCGTACATTAAGGATTTGTTCTCTAGTACCTCTGCCCTTTACAAATCCAGCCTGCTCAGGTGCTATTTGCCAACTTATGAAGTTTTCAAGACGCCGTTGCAGTATGTAGAGGATTACCATAATGGTTGCAATAAACAATCATAAACAATTTATAGGTTCAGGTAAAACTAGGTAAACTTACCGCTAATTGAAGCTAATTAATAGTGGTTTGCACTACTTTGCGAAACAACGAACAAAACGAATTCAGTTTGAGTGCATCGGTTCACTGTATATATACAGGGTATATATACTGAATCAATACAGGGAGGACAAATGTATTGATTCATTTACACAACCATATTTGAATTTAAACAGTCTGGATAATTTGATTTCCACCTAGTTTGATCGCTCGTCATCGCCATTGGATTTGTTATTTTTCATTTCTAAAAGTGCCGTTTTCGTCGGTGCTCCCATACATTTCGCGATAAAAGGATTCGACAACTTCAAGGATTTTGGTTCTATCAGTAGTTGTTTCCGTGTTTGTTTTTTATTTTGTACATATTTTTGTTGCCTATGTTGTTCGTATTTCGCCTCAACACTTTTCAACTTTTGTTTTCTTGAATTATTTTAGTTATTTCTCTTGTATTGTTTTCTCTTACGTCCTTTCGGGTTGGCCGGTGGATATCTTCATTTTATTTCTTCATTTTGGTGTAGTGGGAGACGTATTTTTCCGTCAGCTGTCTTCTTTTTTCATATTTTGTGATCCTCTGTGTAATTTGTCTGTGACTTCATGGTTGCATTCAAATAATTTCTAATCAAGCAAAGTTTTACCAAAAATGTACAGTCCATTAAACTATTCTATTCTGACTAGTTATCAACATACAAATTAAATCACATTTTATTTAAAAAACAATTTTCAAGTTAGAAATTAAAACGTTAAAAGTAAAATATTTACATACAATCGTTGTTTATTCTCAAAAATCGTGTGCATAGTACTTGTAGCATGTTATATTTTTTTATAAATACTAGTAAACATTCTAATATCATTAATAAAAAAATTTCAGTGTCTGAGAACACTTGTTGGGCACACGGGTGGTGTGTGGTCCTCTCAGATGTCTGGAAGTACAATAATAAGTGGAAGTACTGATAGGACCTTAAAAGTATGGGATGCTGATACCGGCCTTTGTATACACACTTTGTACGGCCATACCTCAACCGTTAGATGTATGCATCTTCATGGTAAAAAGTAAGTATAATCATTTTTCCTATAAATCATGTTTCTTCGAATAATTGGGTCTATAAATTTCTCTAATATGTTCAGGGTTAATTATAATAGATTAGAGAAAAATCTTAGAAATATTTTTGTCTACTTGGCTAAAAGATTGTAAGAAGGAACATACCTACGACTTAATATTTTGTGTTGTTATCATGTGACGTCCCTTACAACGACGCGGATGACGTGCATCGGAATTTATACTGTACCGATTGTAATTAATTTATGGCTTTTATTTTCATCATCATGTATAAAAAAAACAGTAAGCGAATTACGAGTTACATATTCGTTTAAAATCATTTTTTTATTATAGGGTTGTAAGCGGTTCCAGAGATGCTACTTTAAGAGTTTGGGATATTGAAACTGGAAATTTCCTTCACGTACTAGTAGGCCATGTCGCTGCTGTTCGGTGTGTTCAATATGACGGTAGGTTAGTTGTGTCTGGCGCCTATGATTTTATGGTAAAAGTTTGGAATCCTGAAACTCAAGAGTGCCTCCATACTTTAGAAGGACATACCAATAGAGTATACTCTTTACAGGTAAATACTTTTTTAATCAATACTGAGTGCATTAATAACAATATTAAAAATGAATATAAAATACCAGCGGATATTGAAAAGCATAGCTAGTACTATTGAAGCAAACAGAATGTGATAGTGAAAATAGTTTATTTATCAACATCTCTCTTTTTCTCCAATGGCCTCCCCCAGCATCCCTTTTCTTGGCTGCTCTCTTTCAGTTATCCATCCTCAATATCTCTTAGCATCGGTGCTCACTTCACCTATTCACCCCTTTCTTGGTCTTCCTCCTACCCGATGTCCCACCGTAGTTCCACTGAGCGTTATACTCGGTATTTTGCTATTCATTGTTATAAGGTGAACTGTCCAGCAAAATCTTTATATTTTTGCATAATTCGAGGGTTCTTTCTAATACTGATATAACTTGTGGGTGAACCTTACTCTCCATATACCATTGTCTCAGATATCTTTCTTTCAAAAGTATTAATAAGGTTTTTTTTTTTCTGTCAATATGCATATTTCTGCGTCATATGTTGCTATTGATCGTATGATGGTTTTATATATTTTGAACATTAGTTCCCTATGGATGTCTTTGTATCCAAACACCTGCAACAGAGAGAAGTATGCTTTGTTACTATTCAACATACTTTCCCCTTAATTGCAAACCTGCAACGCTTACATACCTTTCACAAAAAAAATTGTTTTGCTCTGCAACCAATTATCCACAGCTTCTATCACCTCTTCATTGAAAAAAATTTCGAGCTTTTTAAACTTTTTTACGTTGAGGAATCCATGCTAAAGGCAACATCTGGTCTAAACAAGTTGTGAGTTATATTTCTTTGTCGTCAATGATGACTATGACCTCTAAGTATCGACGATCACAATAAATTAATAACAGACTCAGTTAGAAACGCACAACTCAAATTTTGCAAGAAAAATGACACCAAAAGTGAAAAGATTAGCAAAGATACAAGGGCTCTCATGGAAATACGACGAAACCTAAGCGAGAACGAAAAGGGAAACAAAGACGAATATAAAAAACTAAATAAAAGAATTTCAGCGGAAATTAGAAAAGATGTAAGAAGATATAATACTAATTTAATTACTCAAACAGTAGAAGAGAACAAAGGTTTAAAGATAATGAAAAGAAAACTTACGCATAGTAAAAAAGAAATATACAAGCTGAGAGATAAAGACGAAAAGGCAACAACAGATAAACAAAACATTCTGAAAATAACTAGAGAATTTTATAAAGACCTCTATACCAGCCAAAGACCACAAGACAATTTCCCGACACTAGTAAAGACTCTCATAAATCAGGGATCGGAATTACTTTTACCCATTACTGTGTCAGAAATAAGAGCAGCTTTAAAGGAAATGAAGAACCATCGATAGCCTGGTGATGATGGACTCGTTATCGAGGCAATAAAAGCAGGTGGAGAAATTTTATTAAAATCAGTAAGCGAACTGTTTACTAAATGCTTACATGCGGGTACGATTCCAAAAGACTGGAACAATGCAGTAATAGTCTTGTTACACAAAAAAGGTGATATTACTAAATTAGAAAATTATAGACCCATCAGCCTCTTGACACATATGTACAAACTCTTTATGAAAATCTTAACAAAGAGGCTAACACCTAAACTTGATTTCTATCAGCCCAAAGAACAGGCAGGCTTCAGGGCTAATCAAAAACATCTATCAGAACGCTACATCAAGTATACGACTGCACGAAGACACAGAAAAATTCAGCTTAGGTCGAGGAGTTAGACAAGGAGACAATATTTCACCAAAATTGTTCACGGCAGCTCTAGAGTCAATATTTAATAGTACTCAATGGCAAGATATGGGCATCAATATAGATGGAGAAAGATTAAATCACCTAAGGTTTGCAGATGATGTTGTATTAATCGCAGATAACTTACATGATACAGTTTCTATGATGCATTCGCTTAAAAGTCTGTCTGAAAGAGCAGGATTAAAGATAAACTTTGAGAAAACTAAAATTATAACAAATCTCGTAATGAGTGGAAATATAACTATTGACAATAATACCATACAACAAACAGACACTTACAAATATCTGGGACACGAAATCAAAATAAGCAGAGACAATCAAACACATGAAATACAGAAGCGAATAGGTCTAACATGGGCAGCATTTGGCAAATTAAGCCATATTCTAAAAGTTCAATTCCCATGTGTCTCAAGCGAAAGGTTTATAACCAATGTGTTTTACCTGTACAAACTTATGGAGCAGAGACTTTAACACTCACGCAAAAATCTGCGAATAAACTTCGAGTTACACAACGAGCCATGGAACGTGCAATGCTGAACGTGAGCCTTCGAGACCACATAACAAACCAACAAATCAGGCGAAGATCAGGAGTTCAAGACGTCATCGAAAGAACCACGACGCTTAAGTGGAACTGGGCAGGGCACTTAGCCAGAACACAAGATGGACGGTGGACAAGACGTATTATGGAATGGAGGCCTAGAAATTATAAAAGAAGCCGAGGACGACCACCGACTAGATGGACCGATGACATTAAACGTGTAGCGGGAAACTGGCTACAAGCGGCCCAGTGTAGAGAACACTGGAAAGACTGAGGGAGGCCTATGTCCAGCAGTGGACGCGATTGGCTGATTGATGATGATGAATGATGACTATATGAGTAACTTAATTTGCTCTACCTTATTTTCTTGCATTTAATGTTGAATTATAATGTAATGCTGCTTGATTAATTAGCTTAATGTTACTATTAATTAGCTTTTGTTTACTTATTTCCTATTTATTTTGCATTCCAATACCCATTTACTTAAAATATATTTTTTTAATCTATCATGTTGTCCATTCAAAATTATCATTCATAATGATAATTGGTATGTCCTATGATTACTTAGTAAAAGGTCTGAATTATTTGTCGAGTTCCTTCACTGCTTAATGAACTTTTAATTGTTCATTGAATACTGTTGTTGAATTCCAAATAATATTGATATCAAATTAAAGATGAGGACATCATTTCTTGATATATAACAAAGTTAATATGGATAAATCTGGAATGTGTTGCCTGTGTGAATCCATTTCAAATAGATAAAAAAAAATACATCTGATTGTAAGTCTTATTTATTTCTTTTTTACCTATTTAATATGTATATTTAATTATAATTCTATTTATTCTAATTCGAATATCAATATTTTCTAGTTTGATGGCGTTCATGTAGTAAGTGGTTCCTTGGACACGAGTATTAGAGTTTGGGAAGTGGAAACGGGAGCCTGCAAACATATTTTAAAGGGTCATCAGTCTTTAACTTCTGGGATGGAGTTGAGAAATAATATATTGGTTTCTGGTAATGCTGATTCTACTGTTAAAGTGTGGGATATCGTGACTGGACAGTGTCTACAAACATTATCAGGTTAGTATTTTAAAGTGCATTCGTTTTAAATTCCTCCAGTTAATATGTAAAAGTTATTCAATAAATTTATTGATATTAATAAAAAGAATAAAATATATTTCGCTTATTATGATGTTATACCTATCTACAATCACTCTAGTCAGAACTTCATACACATTTTGTATGAAGCTTTTTTATTGTGGCGTCATAATGCAGTTTATTATTTTTATTGGGAATAAGGCACAATGTGACTTTAAAACAAAATAAGCTTATTTAGATGTTTAGATCTCCAATTCGGAAATCGTACTTAAAATACGAAACATTAATTTTATTTATATAAAACGATTTCCGAAGTGGAAATCAAAATGTTAAATAAACTTATTGTAAAGGAAAATTGTGGCATATTTCCAATAAAGAATAGTAAGCTGTTATTTAAATCAATTCGCTCAAATTTGATTATCTTAAAACATTGTTCAAATGATAAAAAGACAACAGGTCAAATAAAACCAATAAGTTTGGCAACGTTGAACTTCTTGTCTTTTATTATTTCCACTAATACATTTTCGACAATATGAAGGGCGGACCTAATATACCTCTCTCTTTTTAAACAGGTGTTTCTCACTCCATCTCACACAAGGTCTATACCGACCATAAACTATTTCCATTACCCTCGATACAAAATTAATAAATGTAAAGGATCTATACTAGACAAATTACTATTCGATTTTGTGCCATGGCCCATACTAGACAAATTACTATTCGATTTTGTGCCATTGCCTACCGAAACAATTTGAAAGTACTTTTGGCATTTGCAAGTTAGCCATTCCATTTTTTTGCAAAAATCATCCAATACTTAGCTTTGAATTTTCTATTAAAGTCATATACTGTGGAAACGATTAAATTTATTTAATTTTCAGGACCTCTAGATACAAATAATGCAATCTAATTTTTTTAAACCATTATTTTAGGACCATATAAACATCAATCAGCCGTAACTTGCCTGCAATTCAACAAACGTTTTGTGATAACCTCATCAGACGACGGAACCGTCAAGCTTTGGGACGTGCGCACTGGCGAATTCATCCGAAACCTAGTCGCTTTGGACAGCGGAGGAGCCGGAGGAGTTGTTTGGCGTATCCGAGCCAACGACACCAAATTAGTATGCGCCGTAGGAAGCCGAAACGGGACTGAAGAGACTAAACTATTAGTGCTGAACTTTGATATTGAGATGTTGAGTGATGGTACGATCATGTCGGTTAGGTAATCATTAAGGACTAAAAAAATTCTTTGTGTGAATGTGGATGTATGCGTACTATTTGTCATCGGACGACAGAAAACGGTTTATGACGAGGTTATAATGAACGGAATAATTTAAATTGCCATAACGACAAATTGCTAATATAATGTATTTTATTATAATTGTTCATTTGAACTTTTCGGTAAAAAAGAATAGAATGGAATGTCCCTTATAGTAGCACAATGTCATTGGTACCATAAAATAAATAAAAAAGGATTCAATTGGCTAAATGTATGACGTGTTAAGAATCTTTCAGTGTCTACTCTCTTATACCGAAATGTAGGGATACTCTATACTAGCAATACATTTGTCGATATAATGATGACTTATTTATGTTCATATTGCCGTGTTTATTTAATCACTCTAGAATGTACTTCCAGTTTTGTACAAATGTGCTAGAGATCTTTTTACAACATATAATGCAATATACAAACACATCTTTAGAAAATAAAAACAGTATACAAAATAACAATTATTTGGTTTGAATATTTCTAAGTAATCACTTAAACAGTATTTATCAGAGCCACAATCATAATAAGTATTTAAAAGGTTGGTTAAAATGTAACGTTCAGTAAATGATCGATTATCTCTAGTACTTTTGCACGTCCTGGTGTATTTAACTGTGATACTATTCAAACTTCATCGAGTGATTCAAACCTAAGCCTCGCATAGCCAAAATTTTGAAAGTCGAAGACAAATGTTGTCTGAGAGTGTATAAGACAGTTTTTTTCTTCTGAAAATTGTAAGAACTAAATCTGGTGCTTTTTCTTACTTTGTTTTATTTGTAACCAGTAAGTACAAACGTTATTTTTCCCACTACTTTCGATTAATTTGTGAGTTAGAATAATTGGTTAACGTACTTGTAGTATTTTCACTACTCAAAAAACTATCTTTTGTAGATTTATGCAATAAATAGTTACATATTTCCACAATATGACGAATTTTGGACCATTTAAGTCAATCTTTAACGTGGACAACTACGAACTAAACTAAATATTTGTGACATTATAAAATATAAAAATCGCAGCACAAAAAATCAATAACTTTAAAATCAATCTATCGATCAAAATTGAAATCTTCTTGTAATCAACAATATCTATTTCAACATGATTAGGGAGAAAGTAATAGTTAAGGTCTTAAATACAACAGATGACGTAAGAAAGGTTAAAAAATGCTTATTTGTTTTTTTATAAGGAATATTCACACTTACATAACTTCATGCGGGAGTAGTATCCTCGTGTTTGTATTCCACCGGTGTTTCTTTACCACCGTGACAGTTTAGATTAAATAAAAGCATATTCTGATTGCGCTGTCTCAATGAAACTCGATTTTATTCTACGAAAAGCGTTGTTATCAGTGTCTCCATAATATTGGCTGCTTCTTACAAATTCATCCATCTGCTTCAAATCAGTTAGAGAAGTGTTTTTGTTACTTTATCTTTTCTCCGTTCTTAATAATAAAAAACCGCAAACAAAAATTTTTGCGAATCTTATTACTTTATAGAAATTCCAAGATGAAAACATTGAAATTGTCATATCAAAATTTCGTCCGTATGTAGGTAATATCCAAATATCATATACTATGTTGATATTCTTCTTGATTTTAATAACATTTCCAATAAAACTGTTAAATTTGTAAAACGTTATTAATAACTAACTTCCGACATAAAGGCAATCAAAACTCTACATATTGATTAATGACAGATGTCGTATGTCAAACTCAATTTTAGACGCTTACAACCAACGATGTTTCTTTCAACTTAACTATTGGCGGTAATTTTCAATTTTAAAGTCTTCTACAGCTTGAAGTCTTAGAAATTGATTTTATATTAAAATTTTGTCCCTTATTACTAGTAGGATGTTATTATACTTGTTTTTTTTTATCACTTCTTGCTGTCTGTGCTTCATTACGCAACTGGAAGTGTTTTCTGTGCCACTTTCGGTTTTTCAAACGTATACAATCCAATTAGACCACTTGTCTCGACATACATTGTCCGCATACATACTTCTCTACGTTTACTCTAGAGAGTAATTCAACTAAGAAAAATGGACATACCTACCAAATACGAGAATTTTTGAACCATATTGCAATCTACTGGCACGGGGATAATAAAACCCCATTTGGTTCGTCATTGCTTTGATCTCTTCTATGTTCTTTGTTTTAGGCAACAATCAAAATTTAAGTGTAAACAAATGTGCTGCGTGTTTTTATTATACTAGTTATTGATTTCATATAATTTTGTTTAAACCTGCAAATTCATATTACTCAGTAAATATTGTATTAAGGAAAAATGTAACTAATTTTTCACTAACTTCTGCTATATGATTAGACGAGACCATTTTTGTGTCCATTTTAATAATTATAAAAGTTTTTCAATTATCGTTACAATGTTTTATCTAATTATGATAATATTATGGAATAATAGTTTTATAGTAATAATAAGATATATTCCGGTAAAATTTTTCCTGTTTTACTACTGCTAATCATTATGGCTACTCGTACCTTATCCATCGCTACTCCAAACCATGTGTGTAAATGTTTAACAGTCCATTCTTTATCATAGAAAACCATGTGTGTAAATGTTTAAACCAGGAGATCCGTCTGCATTCGGGACATCTTTTTCCCATTACTTTTCCTTGCAAGATCAGCTGGAACAGTACATAACGTTCGTTGTTTCGCATAATATGTCTCAAGTACTCCAATTTCCTTGCCTTTATAGTATTTAATATTTTAGATTGTGTTCTCATTCTACAAAGTACGATTCCCATTCGAAATATGGTTCAAAATATGTCTATATAACCACATTTCAAATGTCTTAGAAGCAATCGCATTTTGCTATTGAGGTTAAGTCTCTACATTTAAATACTTGCTGCGTCCGTATGAAGGCATTTCTGGCATTTTCAATTCTACATCTTTCTTGCATACTATGATTTTTATACCACTTAGCATTATAATTGTGTGTTACATTATTTCTCGTATTATCGATTTTTCATGGAAATGGGCCCGAAATTTGGTAATTATTATCAAATTGGAATTAAACAACTTATTTCCTAAGTGTCTTAAATACATGAAATGGTTTAAAGCAGAAATCCCATTTGAAAATAACTCAATTCAATTTTCAATATCAGGAGTAGTGTTCAGTGTCATTACTTGTATTATTTGATTAAACTATCTTTCCCTGGCGTATATAAAAATTTTAAAAGAGTTTAATATCTTTAAATATTTTTCTTAATAAAGTGGCCTAGTTTCTATTTGGTTTAACATAGGACTGCTTATTTCCTTTTTACTGTGTGAAAATATACATTTGGTTTTGTAACACACTTTTCTATTACATAATGGATAGAGAATTCGTATGCTAATAAGTTGGGAGCACAACAAAGCTGCTACATTGTTTGTAAAAATTTTTTAATTTCCCTAAAAACAGTAATAAGTCAGCTGTTTACCGACTTTAGTAACACAAGGCGCCATGATGTATCTTATAGGCTCTCTACAGCTTTGGATTGACCAGGCATATTTAAAACACTTAGTTTTCAAATATTTAACATGGGATATAATGTTTAGCATATGTGACATTATTATATTAATATGTAATATACTTACAGCTAAATATTTTCCCAATTATTGTTTCTCATAGCACTCTGAAACAAAGCTGTAAATAGTTTAGGAAAGATGGTGTATCCTTGCCTAATACCCTTCTTCAAGGAAATGTGTTTGTGTCGTCACTGCAGCTGTTGCGCTATTTTATATATTTCAAACAACATTTGTGTAACCATGATCAATACTGCATTTGAACTAAGAGAACAAAATATTTTTAACGATATTTAATGATTTTGTAACGATGATTGAAAAATACAGTATTCTATTATTAATTTACAAAAAGAGCCACCATATCAAAAAACGTACCGAAACCAACAGCAATATGTGGGAATTTGACATTGAAATTATGTTTCGCATCGTAATATTGATAAATATAAAAATTGATTGGATAGAAAAATGTGTACTTTTTTAGTAAATCGTTGCCAGATGTTTTTGTTAAGGTTATTTATTACTGTCAGGCTTGAAAATCCGTCTGGTACATTTACTATGTAATTTTAAATGTTATCAGTCTGTTTTGGCTAGGATAAAGCAAAATAATACTCTAAAAAGTAAGTCTTTAATTTAGTTTTGATGTAGAATAAACGGCGGTGGATATGCTTTTATATATAAAGAAAAATGGACTGAGTTCTGCATTTGTAAACGAAGTGGAACACTAGTATTTGATATTTAGAATAGAAAGAAAGTTTATAATGAAAATAACTGGCGCAGTTTTGAGCTGTTTTTTTTTTAACGAAGCTTTGATCGTTTTACATGTACACTGTAATGTGTAAAATACTTTAAAAGGCAAGCATACTGTAGGGGGACCAGCATAAAAAGCTTAGTTTTATTGTTTAATAGGTATTTATTAGTTAATTTCCGTATTATTACCGGTTTCTATTTTTCACCTTTTAGAATTATAGAATAGTGTATAAAATAATTTAAAACGATTTGAATGCAATGTCTAAGCGTTCTTTTAGGATTGTTTCCAATTTTAGTTAAACCCCCTCTGTGGCTCAGTGGTAAGAGCTCTGCCTTTAAACCTAAAGGTCGTGAGTTCGAATCCCACCTGGGTGGAAATTTTCGTTTATTAAAAAAATTAATAAATGAAAATAATTTCTATCCTTGTGTGATCGGTACACACCGGAGGGACCGCAGACGTTCGGATACAATTAGCGTCTCTTAGCAAAGACAATGACGTCGACTTTGCTAAGTATCAAGACAATTACTCTACACACACAAACACACACACACACACACTACATTAATAAACTTATCTTGATTGAGACTGGCTGAATGACAATTGTCCAAGTAAAAACACACACAAAAAAAAAGTTGTATAGCGCTTCAATGACATTGTGATTATCAACGATTGAACTTTTCTTCGATAACATTTATTCTTTTTTCCTTTATTTATATTTTTATCTTTTTATAGATGATTTATTATGCTCAACGGCTACATCTCTTAATTTTTGTTATTTTATGTTGTTTTATTCTACCACTATGACATTGTATCTCTATTTCTATATTTTTATTTGTTTATCTTATTTGTAAAGTGCCTTTTTCGGTCTCCTGTTTTCTGAAACTTAAATATCCACCTAATTAGATAGTCTCTTACTAGGCCCTCCCACTCTTTTTGACCTCATGGATGTTTTGTTTTTCGTTCATGGTATTTATGGCCATTTAAGGCCTATTAAGGTAGTAGGTAGTTTTTTCACTGCACTGTTAACCATTAACCCTAGTTTTCAAGTGAGAAGATTAAAATCGGCGTTGTCAGGTCTCATATCCAATATTTGACCTTTTTCTATCTTTGATCAATTTATTTTTTTGGAATTTCTTTCTTTTCCTTCTTTGTTTGATGCTTTCTTTGGTTGTTCACTTAGGTCGTTCGCTTAGGTTTGACTAAAAGCAATACTTCTATCCTCATTTTACAACGTTGCATAGTATAGCCGCTTCTAATCATTGTTTTAGTAGATCGGATCATTGCCATGATGTTATGAATATTAGAGACAATAATTGAAAAAGTTTAGTGTAGTGTTAAATATTCACTACACACGTCAGTTTTACTATAGTCTGGTAAATATTAAATGAAACTGTGAATTCGAAATCACGCGCCATAAGTGGTCAAATGTAGCCGAAATCAGAAAGAATATACTTGAATTATACAGAAGGATATTCAATTATTTAGTCTATCAACAGAAAGAGTACTAGTAACCGCAGATACTTGCTGGTCTGTATGTACATAATGTCTTCTAAAAACATGTCAAAACGTGTTTATTTGGAAGAAGGTCGTGCAGTCGAGTCGTGCAGTTCATGAATCATATTGTTACAAATACATTCTTCCCTGCAATTGATTCTAAGTATTGCGGTGACGGCAGTAAACAGAACGAAACGCAATTATCAAGATTCGAAATTTATTTCTGAGAAAAATTTAATTCTCTAGATTGTCAAATAACTGAGGTCGTCTATTTAACAGTGGAATTAATCAATGTCCTGACATGATGCCTAAATGTATTTACACAGCGAAATAATGATACAACCGATGAATCAACAGCTGACTCAGCAGATTGCTACAACGAAGCAAACACTTTGATTTTACAAGAATCAATAAAAAACTGAAAATTCTGCCAAATGAAGAATTGGAATCCAGTTCATGCTATAAACGCTTAACTTGCATGGTATGAAACAGGAATAATAACACAGCCCAACAAAATGAAAAAAAAAATTCATTTTCACAACGACTTCGCCTTCGCCTGAGACAATGTTTTTCTCTCAAATGCACATTAAACATTATTTTTTAGCTTTAAACTGTTTGCGAGAACTTTTCAGATTTATACTCTCCCTGCTAGTACTAGGTTCTTCCATTTTTATTTAATTAAACAATATTTAACCAAAGGAATATATCGTTAAACACATTACACCTGTTTACAATACACAATGTACTTATAACTCTGAGAAACCTAAATAATACTGATCATATAAACATCCATTCTCCGCTACTGACACGCTTCCTGGTAACATTCATTCTGATGCTAAACGAAACGAAAAACCCAACTGATTACGTTCATAAGTCATTTCACTTATTGTTTGCCAGACTATAGCATTTAATTGTGGTAGATAAAATATTAGCTTGCTTTAATTTTACAAATATTTCTTTCATTTTTAACTTTTCATTGTCATTCTAACCAATGTATTCTATAAATGTTTTATTATGAGGCTTTTCGGTTACCTAACTTTATAATGGTCCAAAATGCTTTTAGGTTCACAAATCTCTAAACACTCACAAAGTGGTCTCATGTTTTTTAGTACCATTGGTGTCATCGATGGCAAAACCTAAGTAATCTTTGAGTTCTTAAACAATTAATTTGAGGTTATGTTAACCGAACGAGGTGACCGCGGAATCGTTTGGCAGTAGTATAATATTTCTGTGAAGTCAAATTGCATTCAATAAAAAATCGACGGACAATGTGTTTCAGACCGACCACGTATTGGCGACGTGCAAGTACTTGGATGTGATACGAGAAACGATCGTGCGCGAGTAGCGGAGAAATCTTGCATTTTTCACTGCACATTTCATAGATTTCATAAATTCATATTGTCAATTGTCATATTTCATATTCGTTTGTTTATGTGACACCTTCTGTCACTAAAGAAAATGGGATTTAGGAAATGCTGTGTTATAAATTGTAAAAATACAACAAAAAATTGTCAATTTAAGTTTTATTCGTTTCCAACTTCGAAGCACAAATTACTACAAAGAGAAAAGTGGATTTATATCATAAAAAAGTATAAGTAACATAACCTAAATTATGTATTATTCTTGCGCCCGATTTTAAAGTCAGTTTGAAATAAATAATAAATAAAAGTTCACTTTTAAGTGTAAATTTTGGTTTCATAATACTCACTTAGAGTTCATTTTAACCCAAAAATCAAGTTTAATGTTTAAATTTTATTTTTTTGCAGTTTTCAAAAATGCATTAAGTTAAAGTTTTTCTGAAGATGCATTAAGATATATTCGCTGTCCAATAGTTTACAGGGAAATAATTAATTGTTCAAACCAATATGATGATATCATGGGCTTAACCTGCTAATTTATGCATTAGCATTATTTATGGTAATTTATTTTTCTTAATTCTTCCACATAATTCTTCCATTCTTTTTTGACATTTACCACTACTAAAGCTTTTCCCTTTGACTCGGTGCTTGGTTAAAAAGTTAATTGGTGATTTACTTTCTCAAATCCAGTTTTTATTATTGCATCCATATTAACAGTAATGCTGTAATTTAATAATATATTTATTTGTATTTACACTACATACAACGTTTACCTTTTAATAACATACCGACTGTCTGACATAACCTCAATCTTACTTTTTCTTCTTATTCTTTTTTGGAGCTACGTCCTTGACAGTTATCCGGTAACCTCGATCTAACGTGAAAGAGCAGTAAATTTTGCTGATTTACGACACCAGGTGTCGCTGTTCCGAACTTGCACGGTCCCAATAAGGGCTTCAACTAAATACTTGTTCTCCCTAGACCTGTAAACTATGGCACTGAGCTACAAAGATTTTTTGTCTGTAAATAACATAGGGAATAGGGAAATTTTCAGCAGAAATAGTAAAAGATCAAGTACCTGTCAAACTAAATATCGGAATAATAACTTTTCGCGGTAAATACTATTTCCTCAATATATAATACCATTTTTTGTTGGAGAAAGTTATTAATAATCGTAATGAACCGGCAATTTCGGTGAGATTTGTGAAAACTTCTCATTACCAAACGAGATAACTTAAAAACAGTTAACGATCAAAATTTTTCTTTTTATTGACTTGAAAGTAAAACATTTATTCCAATGTAAAAACATTTACGTTCAGTTCTTTCCGAGCTTGTATTTCCTCCTCATAATCAGCTTCCATGAGTTTGTCTATTAGTTTCTAGTAGTTACTTTGAGTGTACAAAATGACTAACTGTAAAACGTAAACGCTAGATCACCATCGTGGAAGTTCGATTTAGTATTAAAAATTTTTGGTTTGGTCAAACATATTGTTTAAATATTATATAGTGTATATTTTGACTCCTTACAAAAGTTGTACATTCAATGAATGAAATTGTTTCACTTCGTTTTGATGCAAGCATACTTCATATCCACCATAGTGTTCAGTCTTTGCCAGTAAATAGATTTGGAAACGCTCGTAATCTTTATTTCTTTTGTTAATGATTAGACGAATCTCTGTTCCTAAAGTTACTTGTAAATATTAATGCACCAGAGAGACTGATAGTAAGTTAGTAATACGGCATTTTAGGATGGGAATCTTACACGTAAGTTTGTAATTGTTTTATTCTAGTTTTGTCATTTTCAACTTTAAATTTGGTAAAACAAAAGTATGAGCTTTTGCTAGGACTCAGATTTTATTTA